CCCAAGACCTTAATATCATCTGCAAATGTACGTAATTTATGATATATTGACCATTTCTTCATCTGTGTCATTGACGTAAATCAAAAAAAGCAAAGATCCTAAGACTGGGCCCTGAGGTACCCCATTTATAACAACGCTCTTCTTTCTTCCATCCAACCACTGTTCTATCCAATTAGAGATTTTTTCACAAGCCTCTAATGTGGCACCTTGTCAAAGGTTTTCTGAAAATCCAGATACATGAAATCTACACACTTACCCTCATCTGCATAAGCAGTAACATTTTCAAAGTATGTCAAAAGATTTGTAAGCCAAGATTTCCTCTTAGTAAAACCATGTTGACTATCCAATAAAATTCTAAATATTGGGAAATGACTTTGCAAAGCATCTTTTATCATACTTTCCAAAACGTTTCCCACAACAGATGTAAAACTAGTAGTCCTATAATTACTGAGACAATTTTTACCTCTTTTGAAAAGAGAAGTGGCATTAGCTAACTCCCAGTCCTTTGGCACCTGTTCACTATTCAGGGACGTACACAAAATTGTAGCAAGTGGTTTACATATCGAATCCTTAATCTCCTTAAAAACCCTTGGAGAAATATTATCTAACCCAGGAGCCTTACAATTTTTTCTTAACAAGCTAAGAATGAATGCAATCATAATGTCCAACTTTGTTTCCATTTATCAACTGTTCAAGATGAGAAATGCTACTTAAATCTTCATTAGTAAAAACTGAAGAAATACAGAATTTAATAATCCAGCCATCTCATAATCATAACATACAAACCTTACTTTATCATCCCTCAAGGTTATAATGCACTTAAAGAAATCCTTACTGTTAATTTTTACATTTTCAGCCAATCTTTTTACATACATCCTTTTTAATTTCCTAGTTATCTGTTTTACCAACTTTCTTGATCTCATATAATCTTCTAAATCTTCCATTATACCAATCAACTTAAAGTTCTTAAGTTTGTGATGCTTTTCTTTAATATTATCTCTTATACCCTTTGTGAGCCAGTCTGTTTTTACTTGCAGCCACCCTTTTCTTTCTATAAGGAATATGTTTATCTTGAATATTTAAAAATTCACCCTTAAACATTTTCCACATCTGATCAGTGTCTCCAAGTTGCTAAGCTGCCCAACTTACAACAGATAATTCTTGTCGCATCCCTTCAAAATTAGCTTTTTTGAAATTTGTAACCAATATATATCATTATTTCTGATCTCCATATGCAGCAAAAACACTAAACCTAATAGAGCAATGATCACTTACATCCAGGTTTTCCCCAATTTCTACCCTTTCAACAATTTCTATATTAGAAGTTAACAATAAATTTAAAATAGCATTGATTCTAGTTGATTTCTTGGCCAATTGGTGAAGAAAACCACCTTGAACAGTTTCCGAAAACCTTTCTCTCTCATGGTTTGACTCTAACGTTTTCCAATCTGTATGCCTGAAATTAAAATAACCCATAATTATGACATCATTAACAGCTGAAATCTTAATCTCACTGTATAGTTTCTGACAAATTTCATCAGTATCATCTGGTGGTCTGTAATTCCCACTGAACGCGTTCTCCCTTTATATTCGCTAATCGAAACCCAAATGGATTCATTCTCCTTGCTATTATCTTTGATATCTTCAACTTCAACAGGACGTAACTCACATTTTACATATAAAGCCACTCTTCCCTCTCTCTTTAGTACTCTAACCCTATCAAATAAGCCCGGCATGACCAGGTGGTTAAGGCACTCGACTCGCAATCTGAGGGTCGAGGGTTCGAATCCCCGTCACACCAAACATGCTCGCCCTTTCAGCCGTGGGGGTGTTATAATGTGACGGTGAATCCCACTATTCGTTGGTGAAAGAGTAGCCCAAGAGTTGGCGGTGGGTGGTGATGACTAGCTGCCTTCCCTCTAGACTTACACTGCTAAATTAGGGACTTCTAGTGCAGATTGCCCTCGTGTAGCTTTGCGCGAAATTCAAAAAACAAACAAACCTATTAAATAACCTACAACCCTGTATTTCAAAAATTTTCTGTCATCAAAATCATCTACATTTAACCATGTTTCAGTTATTCCCATTATATCAGAGGCATCCATTCCTACCAGTGCCCTAAAGTCATCTATTTTATTTGTTACACTTCTGACATTACAATAGTAAAAATTAAGCCTGTCCTTATAACTACTTCTATACCTATTTCCTATGCTAAACTTTTCCCTAGATCTTTTTTTTTTGCATTTAGTTTATCCTGGCCCTCACTACTGTCAGTCCTAGTTTAAGTCTTCCCTTTCAGGTGAGTTAACAGCCCTAGCAAACAAACCAGACCATTCCCTATTTAAATGTAAACCATCCATTCCAAAAGCTCTTTTCTCCCATTGAACTGGTCCCACAAGTCCAACCAGCATTTCTGCTCATTCTTACATATTAACCTAAGCCTAGCATTTAGCCCTAGTGACCTACTCATAATTTCATCCCCACAATTAATTCTCGGCAGTATTCTTCATACGATCAAGTTATGTCATTTTTCTTTAAATGCCTTTATCAATCTCTTTATTTATTAATTAGCTCCTTTGACCTACCTTTCCCTACATCATTAGCCCCTACGTGCACAAAAACATTATCATTGCTAGCCCCCTTTATTATATCCGTGTCACTTATATCCTCCACCTATGCCCCTGGATAGCATAATCTTATTAAATGTCCAATTGGTACGATAACATTGGAAATATGACATTTTTTAAATATGTAAGTAGTTTTTCGATTAGATCGACTAGTTCCTCAAACCAACAAAAGGATAGATTTTAACCAAATACAAGTTGACAAAATAGAAAAAATCATAATTCTTTGATAATTAGTTTTATATACATTATAAGTTTATAAGTTATTTCCACAAATGGAATATCCTACAAAGTAACGGTATTGCCTTATCTTATATCATCGAGAAAATATTAAACAAGATAAAGAAAGGTAGTTTTCCCATCTACCACACCAACGCAGTTATAATTCAGAGAGTTTTACAGTATACATAAGGGTATTGTCTATCTGTGATAATAATACACATATTCGATAACTTGTTCCAGAACACTCTTTGTGACCCGTGTTTGTTTGTTCATTTCATTGAACTTAGCACAAAGCTACTCAAGGGTTAACTGTCCTAACTGTCTGTAACTTAGAAGTTTTAGACTAGAGGGAATACAGTTAGTCAACACCATCCATCGTCAACTATTGGGTTACGTTTTTACCAACAACTAATGGAATCGACCATCACATTATAACTCTCCCACGGCTGAAAAGTCTAACATCTTCGGTGAAGGGACTCGAACTCACGATTTGTAGATTGCGAGTGGAGTGCCCTGACCACTAGGCCATAACAGGCTCAGGATGGCCTCTGATTACTCATGATAAAAGCCCTCTTTTATTGCAATTCGGGTGAAGTTTGGTGATTTGCAAGTATAAACGGTACCTTTAGGAGTGTTATCTTATAGGACTTTTTGTTGCGAAATACTCCTATTCCACAATAACAAAATCATGGGAATAATGAAATTTTTACAATTCGAAGAAAAGAACGACTGTAGTTTTCAACCTTATCGATAAAGCAAGGGAAGCCAAAATTCCAACTAAAAAACACAGTGGACTGTCTGTACTGTGCCAACCACGGGTATCGAAACCTTATAAGCTTTTAAACATATTGCTGAGTCACAGGGGAGCGCGAATAAACGTCCTGCTTCACGACCAGCAATTAGTCACATAATGAAACTAACGAAGAACATTAAACAGTTTGTTAGCGAAGTAACTTAATACAAAACAACCCTATTAACAACAAGTCACACGGATTTAGGTCTGGAAAAGCAGAAAAAGAATTTTGTTGACATATATGCTGGGATTCTGTTGACATATATGACATATATACTAGGATTTATGGTTTAATGGTGGTTGCAGGTTATATCTATAGGTTTACCTGTTATTAAGCGTAAAGCTAAAGAATAAGCTATTTGTGCGCTGCACACCACTGGTGTTGAAACCAGATTTTTAGCGTTGTAAGCCTGCTGACTTACCGCTGAGACACTGAGGGTGTTACAGGGTGGTAAATTAAACATTCGCAGTGTCGAGAAGATTTCCAACATGATTTCTGAGTACTATCACGCCTAACGCACTGTCATCGCCATATGTTGAAGAAATACTATTATTGTACGTATTGTATGCCAATAAAATATGGCTTCGTTAAAACTCAGCACCCAGCCAATAAGCCAATAAGGCAGTTCTTCCTTAAGATGGAACTAAAAATGGGAATTAATGTTGTACCATTAGCAGACATCTACTATGGAGCCATTTGATTGCTCAGAGGGGTTTTAGAAGTCATCGTCTGTTAATGATTAATAGAGTTGTTTTGTGCTTATTTGACTGCACAGAAGCTTCCTGCAGTGAATATTGCGCTGCAGGACAGTAGTCATGACATGACCGTCACGCCTAACACTGTCGCTGGTAGAACAGAGACTGTTAGCTTAGGCATTCGTACTTGAAATGTTACAATAGATCCATATGTACAGTCTTATATTGGGTCCCATGGAACTGCTCAAATTTTAAACTGATCCATTTTACTAATCTAAATGCTAGTTTTCATCGAATTTTTTTTTCTGATTAGAATCCTGAAGAGCGTGTGTATGGACAGTACTGTGAATGTGACAACTTCAGTTGTGATCGGTACAACTCAGAAATATGTGGAGGTAATCTTTCATTTTATTTTACAAACTTATTGATCCTGCCCTTAAAACCAAAACAAGATAATATTTTTTGATACCGAGACTAAACATATTTACTCAATCAGTACCTGATAACGTAAGAAATGTTTTTCTTTGGTAACAAATATCTTTAATACAATTATCAAAAAGAGAAAGAGAGAGAGAGAGCTTTACATCATTACAATCAGAAAATAATTATTAAATTTTACCACTCAAGGTTTGTTTCGTTAAACAATTTGATCCAGTGTGTCATATTTAAATGTATAACTCTAAAACACCATCGCAATTCTATTTAATGTTTGTTTTCATAGAAGAATGCCGTCTTAAAATTCATATAACTATGTTTTATTACCTGTTTTTAACTGCTTTTCTCAGATATTAGTGTATGTTAATTTTTATTCTTAGGACCAGACAATGGTGAATGTAACTGTGGCAAATGTTTTTGTAAGGAAGGTTGGTCGGGAACGGCTTGTGAAATCACAGATTCTACTGACGGCTGTATAGGAATTGATGGGGTAAATATCTGTATCTTTAAAATATTGTGGGAAATATATATAACGTTTTGTTGGTTGTTTTTTTCATAGAAAAAAAATATATATTAACCGATTTTTGATGTGTAGTGTAGAATTTGAAAATGCCGATACCTGTTTTTTGTTTATTTATCTCCATAAAGCTATCTTTATATCAAACTAATGTTGGTAGTTCTGAATACTTATTTCAAAATGCTTGATAGTCATGTTTCGAGACAGAATTTTGACCTTTTATAGCAAAAGGATTAACCCAGACACAATGAAGACTTCATCTAGCAGAACAAACGTAAAAACTGTGCTCATTGTACGTTGTAAGATAAGAAGTAAGCCTTTCGCAACAAACGTAAAAACTGTGCTCATTGTACGTTGTAAGATAAGAAGTAAGCATTTAGCAACAAACGTAAAAACACATAAGTAACGCAGTGGATAAACAGCACTGAGACACAAAAATTACAATACTTATCAAAAATGCTTTAAACTTTATTTTTTCATGTGTAACTTTAGAGAGAGATAAGTTGTAAGGACACCATACAATAGTCAGATTATTTCAATTGCTTCGGTTGCCTTTGTCTTTCAAACAGAACATATGCAGTAATAATGGAATTTGTCAGAATGGACACTGTGTTTGTTTTGATGGAGTAGGCCATGGTGCGTTTTGTGACGTCATGCAGGTAGGTCTGTTGCCTAAATAATATATAGTATTTTATGTATTAAACGCCTGAAATACGTACTAAAAATGATAATAAATATTCAACTTTGAATTCAAACATTTATTTTTGTGTTGTAAAATCTTTGCCTTATCAATTATTTTTGCTAAGCATATTTTGACACAATATGTACAGCAAGAACACATGGAATTATTTCAAAACTAACGATTTAAATTATAAAAAAATGCTACAAAAGTTAAAACTAGTAGATTTTTTAGTGAAAGCTAAATAGTTATAAAAATCGATGTCAATGAACAGAACATATATTTTATAAACATAGAACATATCATGAGTACTTTTGTTTAGACCAATCATATGACATTACATCCACTAAACGTTCACCAGTTGTGTTTCGAACGTAGTCTAAGATGGATAATCATGTATCTCTTCTCGACAAAATCTATATTAAGTACAATGCATTTCCTCTATCGTTTCGTGCGCTTCAACATTTCAGCTTAGTAAAATGCAGGCGAAGTGTCATGATTCCAAATGTAGATCATCTTTGGATAATTTACAAATTGCTAGGTTAGACTATATGCTGGATTAGTAAGTATTCCTTCTGAGCTACTCTATTGTCTGTAATTCTCACCCATTGGGTGTGGTATGAAGTAGTGAGCTGAACAAATAATCACTATTACCCAGCTGACCTTTCTTCATTAAGTGCGTGAGTTAAGCATGGTATTCAAACCCAATGGTACTCGTAGTTGTTATTATGTAATTGATTATGCACCAGGGCTATTTTTGTAATAACAAGTAACATTGAATATGGCTAACAGCGGACGAACATTGACTTATTAATGTGACCATTCATCGGTCTCGGTTTAATCGTATCCAGCTTACGTGAAACGTATCCATTAAATTCGAATTTAAATTTGATGACGAAGAACCCACCTTTTAGAAAATAAACATTTTGAGACGGCTTGATTGGGTAAAGAAGAAAACTTTATTATAAATGTATTACTATCAGGTACCTGATAATGACATAATGTTATTGAAGCGTTGTACATTTACAGTAAAGTTTTCTTCATTATTCATTCAAGCCGTTTCCAAACTTTGATAACATGTCATATATATATATATATGTGTACATAATCTAATCTCGCCAATGGAAGACTGAGTTTTGTTTATATTATTACCTTTGATTAATATTACCAAACTGGGTGAATCGGAGGATTCATAGTCGTGTTCTTCGCTACCATGGAGATGTAAGTGAGTTATAAGAATGCAATCACATCCAGTTATTCGATTAGACCAGGGTTCGGCAACCTGCGGCTCTTGGGTTATCTGCTATGTCCACCGAGATGAATCGAACCCCTGATTTTGCCGCTATTCCACCGAGGGACCTTTTTTTTTAGGTTAGACCGTTGAGGCGTGTTTCGACTCTCGAAATGTTTTCGTCTGAGAGAAAAACAAAAAATGGCTCTTTTTCTTTGAAGGGTTGCCGACACCTGGATTAGACAATAGTAGTCCAAGATATTGCGATGAACGTTGTTAAGTAGCTACCTTCTCTCTAGTCTTTCAGCTCACTGTAGCTTTGCGCAACGTTCTGAAACAACCAAATTTATATAAATACCTGTGTTCAATTATTGCTAAAGGTTCTTTTACGTATTTTTAGTTTCAGAGCTGTGATGCTTATAAATCATGCGTGGAATGTAGAGTTTTCCAGTCAGGACCACTCACTTCAGACAGGTGTCTCAAAGATTGTGAAAATATCTCCATTCATATTGTAGAGGAATTACAAAGTAAGTTATTTTTAGCATATATATATATATTAATTTTTTCATTCATTGACTGAATTTGTTAATGATATACCTAATAAAAAAAAAGCAGTTCATTGATCGAAAAACCAGAAAATTCAACCCTTAATTAAATTTTTTCTTTTGTGAGCTTATCAGTTTTAGTTACAATTTTGCATTTGTTTTTCAATTATGTATATTGATTCAAACTTCTTATTTTTAGGGTTAGTAGTATATATTTGTGTGTAGGTTACAAGCATTACAACCAGCCAATCTGAATGATACCTATTCATTAACGTTACTTGGAGCTCCTTTTTTTTTTTGAACTTATTTCATCAACTAACCACTTAAAAAAATAATAAATGCAAACCCAGAGCATGAACTCCATTTAACTCCCTACTGTCGAAATTCATTGTAATTTGTGCAAATATATATAACACCATTGTTATCTAGCAAATATTAAATAACCAAGGATACATCTGGTATATACTCTTAAATATGAGTGATCATGTATTCCTTGACGTTTCACATGAAAGTGTAAAATTATGCATACAAATATAATTATGCAGAACACCTGGCCATTTAATCGAATACCTGAAGGCTTGCCCCCCAGTGGCACAGCGGTATGTCTGCGGACTTACAACGCTAGAATCCGGGTTTCGATACCCGTGGTGGGCAGAGCACAGATAGCCCATTGTGTAGCTTTGTGCTTAATTACAAACAAACAAAAACAAACCTGAAGGCTTTTAACGCTAGAATCCGGGTTTCGATACCCGTGGTGGGCAAAGCACAGATAGCCCATTGTGTAGCTTTGTGCTTAATTACAAACAAACAAAAACAAACCTGAAGGCTTTTAACGCTAAAATCTGGGTTTCGGTATCTGTGGTGGGCAGAGCACAAATAGCTCATTGTGTAGCTTTGTGCTTAAGAACAAACAAAACAAAAGTAATCGTTCGCTTCTATGTTTTAAGAAAAATAAGTTTAATAACTTATTTCTAAATAATAATAATTTATAT